CCCTGATGCTAGTGTTGATTGCTTTTTCTGATAGTGCAGGGTAGATGATTGGCAGGCTTATAATCAGGAGGGCTTGTCTTTATAACAGTGAGTTTTACTTCACTGAATTGAGTTTATGGGGAAATTGTTACTTCCTGAACTTTCATGGTTGAAGATATGTAATGCTCAAATCTTTCTTCTTTTTATACTTACTCCTTAAGATAAAAAACAGCAACTCACTCTGGTCTTATTAGTGTTGCTATCTCAAACTTTTGGTTTGACCAGGGTCTTTGGGATATTGACACCTGGTAGTGACTCCTTTCCTGGGGAATTTCTCTGCTTACCTGAGCCTCTTTGATCTTGGTACCAACTCTCAGAGGTGTCTGGTCCACCATATGGCAAGCTGGCTTGCATTTGGAGGTCCAGCTCTGCCTGCCTTCTGCTTAGCTATGAGGGATCAAGGATTTTTTATTTGTGGAAGAGATTTTTTTCCTGCCAAACTAAACTTTTTTTCTTTTTGAGAGGCTTCCAGGACTGGATTATCTTTTAGCATATAGTTTGGCCACATCTTGAAATTGTTTTATGGTCAAGGAGGAAATACGTGAATGCATTGATAGTCTGCAAGGAAGAAATTGAATTTTCTCAGGCAACTCTCCCCAAAGAGTGTAGATTAATCGGTTGGTGTCAGCCTGAAGGTTGTTCAGAGGCTGTCGTCAGCACTGTCCTACTGGATATCTTTTTTTTATTTTGAGTTGGAGTCTTACTCTGTCACCCAGGCTGGAGTGCAGTGGCACACTCATGCCCATCACAGCCTCGAACTTCTGGGCCCAGGGGCTCCTTCCACTTTAGGCTTCCAAGTAGAACTACAGGCATGTGTCACCATGCCCAGCTAATTTTTTGATTTATTGTAGAGACAAGATCTTGCCGTGTTGCCCAGGTTGATCTTGAACCTGTGGGCTTAGGGAATCCTCTCACTTCTGCCTCCTGAAGTGCTGGGATTACAGGCATGAGCCACCTCCCCAGCCCCTACTGGATATCTTTATCAGCAACTCAGAAAAAGATTTAAGAATGTATAGGTCTTGAACGGTATGTGTTACAAAGTTCTTAAAATAAGCACATGCAGCTTATTATGGATACATATGACTTCCAACATTTAGTTTCACAAGACTACTTGGCAAAAGGCGAAATTCACTCTAATTTATGTGTGTGATTTTTGTTTGTTTGGTTTTTAGAGACAGAGTCTTGCCCTGTTACCCATGCTGGAGTGCAGTGGCACAATCATGACTCATTGTAACATCAAACTTCTGGGCTCAAGCAATCTTCCAGCCTCAGCCTCCCAAGTAGTTGGATCTACAGGAATGTGCCACCATGCTTGGCTAACTTTTAAAGTATTTTTGTAGAGACAGTATATTTCTGTGTTGTCCAGGCTGGTCTTGAACTCCTGGGCTCAAGCAATCCTCCCACCTTAGCATCCCAAATGCACTGGAATTACAGCATTAATTTCTGTTTCCAAAAGACAAACAATGTTTATGATTTGGTGCACCAAGCTTGTTGCTATCCTGCATTATGTTGTATATTGTGACTATTTTTTTTTTTTTTTGAGTTGGAGTCTCACTCTGTCCCCCAGACTGGAGTGCAGTGGCTGCTCCCGGCCACCGCAGCCTCGACCTGTTGGGCTCCGGCGATCCTTCCGCCTCAGCCTTCCAAGTAGCTGGAACTACAGGCGTGCACTACCACGCCCGGCTAATTTTTGATTTATTGTAGCAATGAGGTCTCGCCAAGTTGCCCAGGCTGGTCTCGAACCTGTGGGCTCAGGCAATCCACTCACCTCAGCCTCCCAAAGTGCAGGATTACAGACTGAGCCACCAAGCCCGGCTACATAAGTATCTTTTTTTTTTTTTTTTTTGAGTTGGAGTCCCAGTCTGTCGCCCAGACTGGAGTGCAGTGACCGCTTGACCTGCTGGGCTCCGGCAATCCTTCCGCCTCAGCCTTCCAAGTAGCTGGAACTACAGGCGCATGCTACCATGCCCGGCTGATTTTTTGATTTATTGTAGAGATGTGATCTCGCCAAGTTGCCCTGGCAGGTCTCGAACCCGCGGGCTCAGACAATCCACTCACCTCAGGCTCCCAAGGCGTGGGATTACAGGCTGAGCCACCGAGCCCGGCTTTTATTTATTTTTTAAGGACTCACCAGAAACAGCTTTATTGTTCATATTTCTTTTTTTTTAAATTTTAAAGTTGTGGGGGACACAAGTCAAGATTGGGTACATAAGTGGTTTAGGTATAGATGAAGTTTTGGGCCTCCCATTGGACCTCACTTCTCCTGGATTAAGATAAGCCACCCTTATTGATATTGTGTGCCCCCCCTCTGTAGTGTCCCACTACTGCCAATCCCTTTTTTGTAGTATTATGATAGGTGTTCAGTGTCCACTTATGAGTGACAACATTTGGTACTCAGTTCTTTGTTTCTGTGATAGGTCAGTAGACACTGAGTGCTTTTTTTTTTTTTTTTTTTTTTTGAGTCAGAGTCTTACTCTGTCGGCCAGGCTAGAATCCAGTGGCATGTTCACGGCCGCTCAAGCGTTAACCCACCAGGCTCAGGTGATCCTTCCGTCTCAGCCTTCCAAGTAGCTGGAACTATAGGCGCGAGCTACCATGCCTGGGTAATTTATATATACAGTAGAGACAAGGTCTCACCAAGTTGTCCAGGCTGGTCTTGAACCCCTGGGCTCAGCATTCCTCTTGCCTCGACCTCCCAAAGTCCTGGGATTACAGGTTTGAGCCACCATGCCCAGCCACTCAGCACTTATTATGTGCCATACATTTTTCTAGACTTTTTGCTCATAATGTATTTAGTTCTCATCCTTTAGTGAAGTAGTTGGCATTATTATCTCCACACTGCTCATAAGGAAACTGAAGCAGAGGGCATAGGTGGAGGAACTAGAATTTGAAGCAAGCTGGCTGTCTAGCTGCAGAGCCCTCACTTGTAGCCATCGTGCAGTTTGCTTTATGCAGATGACCAGTGCTTGTACACAAGGGTGCAGCATTTTAAAACAGAGAGAATGGTAATTCTTCGTGAGATTGGTTTAAATTCCTCATTATTTTTAACTTTTAAATATATTTTTTAGCTCAAAGATGTTTGCAGATATTGTAGATGTTTGCATTCTGCATTCCCATTATAAACAAGTTCATCACAAGCAGAGTTTCCAACAAGCCCAAGGATGGCTAAGATTACTGCAACTGGACTTGACCACTATCACCCTCAGACAGTAGCAGGCAGTGTTGATGCACACTGACTCTGGACCTTAACGTCGTTCACTCAGTGTTTAAATGGGGTTGTCTGTAGTGGTTTTTGAAATACCACTGCAGTGGTTTGTCATATGGAAAAGGGTTTCTTAGACTGAACCATAATGTAATGGCCAATATTTAGCCTCTCTTAACCTACAAAATGACAAGTTTATATGATTCAACCTAATCGTCCCAAGAGCAGGGTATTCCAGAGAAACCATACTTTTATTATCTTAAGGATATATATACTTCTAGGATATATTAAAGGTTTTGTTTTTGTTTTTGTTTTTGTTTTGAGTTGGAGTCTCACTCTGTCACCCAGACTGGAGTGCAGTGACTGCTCCCGGCCTCTGCAGCCTTGACCTGCTGGGCTCCGGCGATCCTTCCGCCTCAGCCTTCCAAGTAGCTGGAACTACAGGCACGCACTACCACGCCCAGCTGATTTTTGATTTAATGTAGAGATGAGGCCTTGCCAAGTTGTCCAGGCGGGTCTCGAACCCTCAGACTCAGGCAATCCACTCACTTCAGCCTCCCAAGGCTCGGGATTACAGGCTGAGCCACCAAGCCCGGCAGAGGTTTTAGTTGTGAACTTCACCACTGATGTGCTTTTCCTATACAGTTATGTGTGAGTAGTATGTATTCCATTTCACATCATGTCATTTTTTAATTCTCTTACCTGCATCTAACTCATTTGATGAGTGTATTTATTTGCTTAAATTGGTTATATGATAGTATTCATCAGATTATTAAGCCTCATTATAACTTGGAGAGTTTTGAAATGTAGAATACAATGTAGGTTAAATTTATGAATCTTTTGTTTCTTCTGATTATGAGATGGTACTTGAAAAAATAAGGCCCAATGCAGTGGTTCACACCTATAATCCCAGCACTTTGGGAGGCCGAAGTGAGAGGATTGCCTGAGCCCATGGGTTCGAAACCAGCCTGGGCAACTTGGCAAGACCTTGTCTTTACAATAAATCAAAAATTAGCCAGGTCCGGTGTCACATACCTGTGGTCCCAGCTACTTGGGAGGCTGAGGCAGAAGTATCACCTGAGCCCAGCAGGTGAAGCCTGCAGTGGTTGTGAGCGAGCCACTGCACTCTAGTCTGGGCAACAGAGTGAGACCCTATCTTTAAAAAAAGAAAAATAAGTTGTAGTCATCCTATAATGGTACAGAACACTAGAAATTATTCCTCCTACTCTGGCCCCTTTAGATCAAAGTACATGGTAAAACAAAGTACACGGTGAAATCTCAAAGGCTCAGTATTAAAATCTTTGTAATAGTTATACCCCTTGTACAAAAACTATTATAAAATCTCTTAAGTTTCATAAAGAGATCCTGCAGAATGTTTCCTAATTCTGTTCATATAAACAGGTACCTGGATGATGGCGAATGCGTCTGGTAACAAGTGCTGGCTTCAGATCCTTGATTTTCTTTAGGATTTTCCCCTTTTCTTCCCTTGTGAAACCTTGAGACCTTGTATGGCTGTTTAAAATAAGCATGTTAGTGTCTACTTCTTAAAGATGAATCACAGTTGAGTCTTTGTTATTTGACTTGAAATTGTTTTTATTCTCTCCAAACAGTGATTTTGGAAAGTAATGGCCATCTGATTGATGTCTCAGGCTACAAATCCATGCTGCCCTTTCAATTTCTGTTGCCATTTGTTAATGCATGTTTTGTAATAATTAGGATAAATACAAGGGATCTTTGCCTTTGTTTTTATTTCTTTCAGTAACAAATACTTTAAAGAAAACAGATGATTTTGTGACGTCTAATGCACCAGCTGTCGACTTAGACCACAAGTTTAGATGCAAGGTTGTGGACTGTTTAAAATTTTTTCGCAAAGCCAAGCTGCTGCACTATCACATGAAGTATTTCCACGGGATGGAGAAGTCACCAGAGCCTGAGGAGAGCCCAGCAAAGAGGCATGTGCAAACTAGGGGCTCTTCAGCTTCTGACAAGGCCAGCCAGGAAAGCCTGACCAGAAAGCGGGGCTCTGCCAGTTCCCCAAGTAAGTATCTTGCTTCTGTGTTGTGTCATGGAGGGCTCTGTTGTTTGGGTCACAGTTCTCATGTTTTCTGATACAGAAAGAGTAGGCGTTAGGATTGTTCTGGTCCAGTTGAATCCTATAAGACTGAAAGCAGTATGTGATCCTCCAGAGTTGCACCATGGGGCTGCGCCCTGCCCTCTTGGAGGAAGCAGGAATCATTCCTAGCTTTGAGAGTTACCTTAAGAAAGTCACTTAGCCTCTGAAGGCCTTGGTGCTTTCAGTATGAGTGAGGACAGTCAAGCAAAGGGAGTGCCTTCAGACGCCAGCTGAAGAACTTGTGCTCAGAGCAGCATGGGTGCTGTCGTCCCACCTTCTCAAACTTGTGCCTTGTCATTGCCAGCAGGATAAGAAAGCAGGAGAACTAAAACATAACAGATGATTCCATTGCTGTGTCTAGTTCATCTTTTTTTTTTTTTAAGTCAAGAGCTCACTGTGTCACCCAGACTGGAGTGCAGTGGTATGATCATAGCTCATAGCCTTTACCTCCTCTGCTCAGACAGTTCTTCCACCTCAGCGTCCCAAGTAACTGGGACTGTAGGTTTGCACCACCATTCCCAGCTAATTTATTTTATATTTTTATAGGGACAAGGTCTTACTATGTTGCCCAGGTTGGTCTGGAACTCCTAGACTCAAGTAATCCTCCTGTCTTGGCCTCCTAAAGTGCTGGGATTAAAGGTGTGAGTCACCACTCCCAACCCTATTTCATCTTAATTGCAACTGAAGATATTTTCTTTCTTTCTTTTTTTTTTTTTTCTTTTTTCTTGCTGGGACCTCCAATTTTTTTTTTTTTTTTTTTTTTTTGAGTTGGAGTCTCAGTCTGTCGCCCAGACTGGAGTGCAGTGGCCGCTCCTGGCCACCGCAGCCTCAACCTGCTGGGCTCCAGCGATCCTTCTGCCTCAGCCTTCCAAGTAGCTGGAACTACAGGTATGCGCTACCATGTCTGGCTAATTTTTTGTAGAGATGAGGTCTCACCAAGTTGCCTAGGTGGGTCTCGAACCCGCAGACTCAGGCAATCACTCACCTCAGCCTCCCAAGGCACAGAATTACAGGCTGAGCCACCGATCCTGGCTGGGACCTGCAATGTTAGGGTCACACTCCCAGTGGGGCCTCCAGAATGTCAAGTCAGGCCTGCTGAGGCTGTGGGTGTCTGGTATGTGATTTAATGCTGCATGAAAGATGCAAAGAATTGCACAGAAGTTAGATTGGAAAATACAGATTATTTAAAAAGAAAATTAGAGAGACAGAGAAAAAGAGGGGATTCATCTCCCCAAGGTAGGGAAGGGGGCCAAAGCCAAGGAACATGGCAACAACCATAGCTCAAAGAGCACATGACTACAGCAGAGTCTAGTAAGGCAATAGGCTGAAGATATTTTCTAACAGTGTGTGTGTGTGTATATATATATATATTTTGAGACAGTGTCTCATTCTGTTGCCCAGACTAGGGTGCTATGGCATGTTTATGGTTCACCACAGCCTTAAACACCTCAGATGAAGTTATCCTCCTGCCTCAGCCTCCCAAGTAGCTGGGACTACAGGAGCATTACCACCACACCCAGCTAGTTTTATTTATTTATTTATTTGTTTATTTATTTTTATAGAATGAGGCTATATTGCTCAGACTGGTCTTGAACTCCTGGGCTTGCAGCAGTCCTCCTGCCTTAGCCTCCCAAAGTGCTGGGATTACAGGCATGAGCTACCTTGCCTGGCCTGGACTGTTATCTTGTGTAGAAACCACAATGGTGTTAGTAGGAGTTACTATAAAATCTCATTTTATATCTTATTACAGAGAACCTTCTTGGAAATTTCTACTAAACTTCTATTAAAATATTATATGTTTCTAGAGAAATTTCAGAAGATTTAATGAGTTTCCAACAAATTCTATAATTTTACCAGTTTATTTTTATCTGAAATTATAGTACCTACTTTTTGTCTTATAGCTTTTCCATTAAAATATGTAAGGTAGTAAATGATATATAGAACTCTTAAGGTATCTGACAGTGTTCCCAACGGAGTTTAAAATTAGGTTTCAGTACTGTGGTGTAGGGCTGTGCAGATTTTGGTGCTCTCTGACCCTCTGAGAGGTCAGTCCTCGGCCATGCTGTGAAGACATCATGTGTCAGCATTAAAGTGGAGTTTCTAAGTTATAGGAGTTGTATTACCCATTAGAAATACAATAATATAAGCCACTTATGTCATTAAGAAATTTCTGGGCCACCCCTTTGGGTCCCCTCTCACTGTGGAAGCTTTTCTGTCCTCTCAATAAATCCTGCCTTAAAAAAAAATCTGAGGCTGGGCATGGTGATTCAAGCCTGTAATCCCAGCACTTTGGGAATCTGAGGCGAGAGGATTGCCTGAGCTCAGGGGTTCAAGACCAGCTTGGGCAACTTGGTGAGACCTCATTTCTACAATAAGTCAAAAAATAAACTGGGGGTGGTAGCTCGCACCTATAGTTCCAGCTACTTAGAATGCTGAGACAGAAGGATCGCCTGAGCCCAGCAGTTTGAGGCTGCAGTGGATGTGAGCATGTCACTGCACTCTAGCCACATTAAAATATCTGCAAATTTCTAGCAGCCACATTAAAAAAATATGAAAAGAAATAGGGTAAGTTGCTTATAAAAATATATTTTAACTCAGCATATTGAAACTATACTCATTTCAGTGTGTAGTCAATATAAAAATTACTAGAGCTATTTTATTTTATTTTATTTTATTTATTTTTTGAGTCAGAGTCTCACTCTGTTGTCCAGGCTGGAGTGCTGTGGCACACTCACAGCCACCCCAGTGTCAACTTGCTGGGCTTCGGCGATCCTTCCATCTCAGCTTCCAAGTTGCTGGAACTACAGATGCACGCTACCACGCCCAGCTAATTTTTTGATTTATTGTAAAGACTAGGTCTTGTCAACTTGCCTGGGCTCGTCTCAAACCCGAACCCACAGTCTCAGGCAATTTAATCGCCTCAGCCTCCCAAAATGCTGGGATTACAGGCTGAGCCACCAAGCCCAACTGAAAGGTCAGACCATCTTTTTTTTTTTTTTTTTAATCAAAGTCTTATTCTGTCGCCCAGGCTAGAGTGCAGTTGCATGCTCATGGCCACCACAGCCTTGACCTGCTGGGCTCAGGTGATCCTTCCATCTCAGCCTTCCAAGTAGCTGGGACTATAGGCATGTGCCACCACTCCCAGCTAATTTTTTGATTTATAGTAGAGATGAGGTCTTGCCAAGTTGCTCAGGCTGGTCTTGAACCCGTGGGCTCAGGTAATCCTCTCACCTCGTCCTCCCAAAGTGTGAGGATTATAGGTGTGAGCTACTGCGCCCAGCCTTACTAGAGCTATTTTATGTTGGTCTTTAAAATTCAGTGTGTCAGTTCAAACTAGCCATACTGCAGGTGCTCAGTAGCTACATGTGGTGACTGGCTGTTGGTTATTAGACCACTCAGCTCTGTTCCCCTTTGCTGTAGGCAGTCTAACTGTGTACTTGGCAAGACCAAGTGCTGAGCTAAAAGGAATCACCTGAGGAAGACCAGCTGGCTAGTGGCCACCCAGGGAGATACCCCTCATAAGCTGCAAGGCAGGACACCACCTTAGTGACTTTGAGTCCTTCTCAGAGCAGGCTTATATGAATCAGACTGTAGTAGACTGATGCCCAAGGCCAGTACCAGTCATTTCTTTAAAATTAAGCCCACAACTGTCAAAGCTTCTTTTCTGTCCATTTCAGACCTCTGGGAAGAGAAAGTTACTTATTGAACATGGGATCAGCTGGATTTAGAATTGCCTCTGGCTAAAATAGATCATTCATTCAGCAACTATTTATTGCCAGCCTCTTTTCTGGGTACCACAAAAGAGACCCAAGTCTTGTTCTGCCGGATGCTGTGGTTGTGGTTATTCCTGGCACAAAAAAGAAAGGACTGGTTCATTCCTTAAACTGGAGCATCCATTTGCCTGGGCAGTACTTGCTTCACTCAGGGTCAAATACTGATTGATTCCATAGGGATATTAATGTCTTTTACTGACCAGCCCTGCTGGTCTTGTGTGACCATTTTTGTCTTTTAGGTTGGGTTAATCTCTCTGTTGTTGATTACATGGTAGGTTCTGGGGCAAGCTTATTTCCTAGGGTTTAGGAATCTGTCACTGGGTTACTCCATATGTCACCTATGATATTTACCTCACACAGGTCTTAACTGAAGCAATGGCCAGCCTAGCTGCATGAGTCACTGGATGACTTGTTAAAAATATAGATTTCTGGGCCCTACTTTCCAGACATTTCAGCTCAGTGACTCTAAGTTTAGAATCTGTCATCTTTGTACTCTCCTCCACCAAATATAAAAGTGACATATGATTACTGTAAAATCAGTACAAAAGAATACTAAGGCAGACAGACATAGGTCTGCAAATACAACCATTTCAAACAAACTCTTTGAGAACTTTTCACAAGTTTTCTGTGCCTATTGCCAAAGAACAAGATTTCAGTGAATTTAGCTGAAAGATCTAATTGGATTTTATTAATGATTCATGAATCAGGCAACTTCCCATATGGAAAATAGAAGGGCACTCCAGTGAGTTGAGTAGAGGAGGTGGACTTATAAGCAGAAAAGGTTGAAGAAAGCAGAGATAAGGAACAAAAAAGCTAATTGGTGGTTTCAGAGTTACTTTTCTTGTAGGCATAAGATTTTTTTATCATGCCAGCTCAGGTTGCCTGAGCCCCTTGTACTGGTTGCTGTGACTCTTCTTTTTTTGGAAAACTGAACTACTTAAGTTCAGCATGAGTTATATATGGCACTTAGCATAGGTGACTCCATTCTGTTTTGGTCGGGGTGTAAGAGCCTCATGCAGGAGCCCAGTCCAAAACAGTGGCTGCCCATATATTTTATTTAACACTATGAAACACATATATGTTTAAATAGAAAGTATCTTTCATGCAGTTAGTATCCTATGCAGCTTGCTTCTTTTACTAAAGATCTCTCAG